GCTGTGTGCCCTTAATCTTTATCCCACGGCCCTGTTGCAGATGAAGAAGTGCAAGCGGTCAATATGATTACAAACTGCTCGAATTTCATTTGTATGTAACGTGTTGCACGCGTCATTAATGCGTGTATCCCAGTATCAGTCGTTCACCATTAAGTTCAGAGATTGACATGCATTGCAAAAAGTGGCATGTGTAACGCCGTTGACAATTCCAAATTGCTAGAAGGGCCTTGGACCAGGCACTTTCCCAACAACAACAACAACATATGAAGAAAAAAGCATTCATCTTGATTTGGATGCATGCCGTACAGTCTACATATCATAACTTCTTCGAAGAGGCCAGATTGTCTGTCGACCCGCTCTCCTCGTTTGCGTCGTTCAAATGATTTTCTACTCCCATTCCATGTGTAATACGTGGGCACTTCCGAACACAGCAGTGTTTTCGCAAATGCATCGTTTTGTCCTAAGGCGAAAAAGCAGGGTTAAAGGTAGAAAGAAAAAATTACCGTTTTTTGTCCATTTTTCACCCACAGTTTTTGTGTTTTGTTGACGTTTTTTATTGGGAGAGGAAAGGGGACTCACCGCGACAAGTAGAGATACATCCGCGCCACTGAGTGCGGTTTCTAACGTTTCCAACCAACTGCACTCAACATCCTTGGGACCCCATCCAGAGAGTCGGGAGGAACTAACCGTGGCCAACTGCCCCGTCAGCTTTTTGTCCTACTTCTCCAAGTTGTAGGCTGTCCACCATACCGCCTCCTCCAACCCTGTCCAGCGACCACGAACAAGGCATGACACGGAAGACGCTGACGGGAATACGCAGTACGTGTCCGAGCCATCGTAGTTGGGGTAGCGAAACAAGCGTCTCTAAGATGTGGCTGTCTCCATCCATGACACGCTGTCTGAGTTCAGCGTTGGTTACGTGGTTCAGCCACCACACACGGGCGATGGAGCGTAAACAACGGTTCTCGAAGACAGAGAGTCGACGTAGGTCATCGGTACGACCAGGCCAAGGCTCGCAACCATTCAACAGTACAGCGCGGACAGTAGCACTATAAACCCGTCGTTTGATGAAGAGATGGATATCATGGCGGCGAAGACGAGACGAGCTCTTAAGATACGCATCGACATCTCGTTTCCAACAGCCACACTATCAGTTACGCAGCTTCCTAGGTAGACAAATCTCTGTACTACTTCTAACCTTTCCCCATCGATGGTGAGTGCACTTGGATGGTGAAAAGTGCATGCTACACTTCGACACGTTAATCGCCAGGCGCCTAAGTGTATGTTGTACTGCCTGCGGACCGTCACCCAACAAGAGGATATCATCAGCGTAATCCAAATCAATCACCCGACTACCTGGTAGGAGCTCAAAGCCAGCTTTCAGCAATTTTTCTAGATCATGTTTGAGGACATCCTCAATGGCAAAGTTGAAGAGGAATAGAGACATAGGGCATCCTTGTCCAACTCCACTGGTGACAACAAATGTAGGCGAAAGCTTGCCATAAGCCGTAACTCTTCCCGAAGTCAGGCTATACAGAGCACGAAGAATGGAAACGAACTTCCCGGGAATACCATTCCTCAACAGACAGTGCCACGAAGCAGCCCTGTCGACAAAATTGAAGACAGCACGGATATCCAGGAAGCCAGCAATCGTTGGCTTTTGATACACATGATGGAGCTCGAGAATCTGGCGGAGTGTGAAAATTTGATCGATGACCGCGACCAGGGGGAAACCCAGATTGTTCTTCTCGCTGTAGTGATTCACACGTTGAGGATAGCCTGCGAAGTATGATGGACACCAGAATCTTACAAACGACGGGAACCAATCTAATGCCCCTGCAATTGGAGCAATTTATGCGCAGGCCCTTTTTGAAGATGCGGGCGGCTACCGACTCACTCCAAGATGATGGAACCTCCTCTTTTGCCCAGGCTTCTAAGAACAAAGCGGTGAGTTTTCGAACCAGCGAAGAGCTCTCATGGTTACATAGGGCAGGAGGTAGGCGCTCAGGGCCGGGTGTCTTATAACGTTTTAGGCAGCAGTTCCCGCCAGATTTGCTGGTGAGAGGGAGGATCAGTTGGGATAGTCCACTCATCATCAGTGCGTGCCCCAGGGGAAACAAATGGAACTGGCGGCCAGGAAAATTGCCGGAAAAAATGTTCGGCCCATCGCTCCAACCATTGTTGACGATTACTGAGTAGGGAGCCATCATATTCGCAGATTGTTTCGCTTACTCCTGATCGGAAGCATATCTTCCGGCCTGCTACTCACCGATTTCATCTATATGTATGCCCGTATTCATACCACTTCATCATATTAACGCTGAAGTGACATCGGCACCGTCCCAAACATGATTTGATATTGCATGCCATCTTAGTACCTGAGTTACTGCAACTTTTGTCAACTGATCGTTTCTTCAATGAAGAACAATATCTCTAGGTTGGTATTGATCTCCGACTATAACAATTGCCAATTCGTCTATAGTTAGATCAATGAATCTTACAACATATTCTTCAGCAGGCGTTTTGTCAGCATGAATAACAATCTTGTGTCAGATGTCATCATATCAATAGCTGTTTTGAGCAAACTCACTAACGTATTTTGGTGAAGCAACTCTTGCAGTTGGGAAACGATGGACATTTTATGCTGGTAGAAATTCCGCAGTGTACGTTCAATTCATCATTGCTTTCACCGATGAAGTACATCTGTAGGAATTTATCTTGATCATCTGGAAACGGAAACGGGGTCCGGCTTTATGATAAATCTGCCCTTAAACTTTGAAAGTTGTCATGAATTGGGCTGTTACTATTTCTGCGCCGAACGATGTCATTTGGAAGCATGAGTTGTATTTCCTGATGTTAGATGGGATATGTTTCGATTCGGCGGTATCTCCGGCAAGCAAAGTTTTTAATGGCGCTGGCGGTTCTACAACTTGTGGCAGTATAATTTTTCTGGTTGCACAACACATTTCTTTCCTTTTTCCATTAGATTTCCGAGCTTTACAATACGGACAAACTTAAATGCCGAAGGTAACATGCCGACTCATACCGAAATAATCAGCTGGGTGATACCGTAATGCGACGAGATTGCAATCGCGCGATTGCTGAGCACGGAGTAGTGTTTGACACTGATCTGCTCTTCCTCGTTGACTTTCAGCCACTCTCAGGCTGTAACGTTCATTGTGTTACGAACGAAGCACATCTGAAACTGCAGAATGCGACGTCGTGTTCGTAATCGTGCATCCTCAAGTCTGACTGCACATCGCACTGCTGCTTCCTCAGCACGTATTTCAGCCATTCTATGTTTTGCTCGTTCGCTGATTCTCGTCCTTCCTCAGTTTGATTTACAATTCGTCATCGCACTGCTTCTGCTCCGCGAGTGCGATGACGTAAATTTGTTTTGCGAGACATTACTCATGTGGAATAAAGCAGATCAATTGTAGTGAAAAAGAAGAAAGCATGTTATGGCAAAAACAAAAAATTGCAAAACAGTAAAAAGGAAAAGCGAATAAAAACAAATGAATAACTAAAAGTACTAACGGTCTAATTGTGTTCAGACGTAGGTTAAACGATCGAGTGTAATTCCACCGTCTGTTGCACTGAAAAATAAGAAAAGGCATTAAAAAACGACCTACAGTTGGCCATCACTGCAGTGTGGCAGACTTAAAACCGAGGATCTGACATTCTGCTTGTTTTCTATGTGCAGTCTCAACGGATCGCGGACTATTATATGCCATTCGATTCCGATTTGCTTGCTAGTTTCCCATTCGGAATAGTTTTGAAGGGTACCTAACGGTTCCTGCGAAAACCTTAATCACCCTATGCTCCGCTCTGTATTGGATTTTTCCTTACCCATCTCAACGTACTCCAACAAAATTCTAATCATTCGACTCGGAATTTCCAGCTGTATCCTACAGCTACTTAGCCAACTCCATACCATCGCAATCTACAACTCTGTGTGGTGGTTGGAGTCCTATTTCCGAATACTACCTGTAAATCTGCTCTCCTACCATCGGTCTTAGCTACGACAGACGACAACCGAGCCCAAAAGTCAACGATCGATAGGCGCATGTGCTTTATCACTCCATACGACCTCGCGTGCGTGTCCCAACGTGTGTGGGAACCATCTTAGCGTCAGATTGCCGTCTACTACCTGCCCAGAAACGTACTCCAGAGACCAGTGCACAAAGATGAACCAATGAGACTAACGAACACGCTGCGCGCAAGAAACAACAAACAACTGGCCCATCAACGAAACAGTCCAGAACTTAAACCGACTGGTTTGCACGGCCTATAGTATTAAAACTGCCCCATATTATTTTTCTCACCCCCTGTGGCTGTTTTTCTACTCAGTCCTACCATTTATTCGCCGGATGCTCAGCATCTTAACATCCTTCTGAGTATTCACTCGTAGGTAGCAGCATCGATTGGGTAATGTTGTCCATCGGTGTTTGGACTCAATTCGTCCGGCACCGCATTAAGCCATTTGTCGAACCTGAGCGACCCACGTTTATTGTGTCGTGCTTTTCGCGTGTTTGACAGCCACGACGTGAATTATGTATCACCAACAGTACGACTAGTTTACTGGCTGACCGATAATATGATGTGGTTAGGAAACAACTTTTCCAAACACATCGACAGAAGTGGCAGAATTAATAATTGGAGATATATCCGGCTTGATGTTGTCTAGAATCCAGCTGCGCTTTTCGCAGCATCAACGTTACCCTTTAACGACTAGTACGTACTGGCTTATTTTTTTAGTCCCGTCCTGATTGGCGACGCATGCCATATCTGTTAGATTGGGTGCATTTGTATGCCTTGCGCTTCATTTATTTTGGGTGTGAAGGTTTTAATCGGGCCGTTGGCATTCGTTTTGTCGTAGAGAAACAGCAGCCGAGTTAGCTCCATATTGCAGTTTGCAGTATATTCGAATAGGTAACAATGACAAATCCCTTATCTAACTTTCTTGGTTTTGATCTCGTTTTCTATCTTTTACTTTTCAGATTGCTCTCGGATCTCCACTTGTGGCCACTAATCTATTTTCAATGCGTGCTGCCATTCAATGTCGGTAGTTCCCTCTTGCTTACACTCTTTTCTACCCATTATTTTCAGTCCTTCGCACACTTTTCTCATCGGACCATCTGTGTATTTTCTGGCGTTCCCGGCTGTGCACACTGAGCTATTTCACGCAGATTTTCGCAGCGCTTTCGCAGTTCATTTCCTCCCCATGTTCACTACACGTGTCCCGATCCCACTTCTGGAGTTCGGGGATCACTCTCTCCATCCCCGCCTCTTCGGCCGCACTCTCTCCTCCACTTCGATCGCTATGAAGTACTATAAGATTTCATCTTAGATCTACACTTTTGGTGATACTCTGGCGGACCTTAATACAACAATCTGCATCTCGCGTTTCATTTTGACAAACCCCTTAGTATGATGCATACTGTTAGTTTAAATAGTTACTTGCCGCTCCTGTCAACCATAAACTGATATGCTTATGTACACGGAAAGCTGAGCCCAACTTATCCAACGTTTTAATGTAATTCGAAACCATCTGATCTACTGACATGCCGCGAGGCTTGATCACCAAAATAGGTTTCTACTGCCCCTAGCCTTCGTATCATAATAACTTTAATTTCTAAATTCACGAACGTGGACTATTCTACTCACAGTCATTGAGTAGTTCGCATACTGTTATGGTCAATGCGAACCTTTTCCTTGTCTAGTCACCTGCAGCATGATAATTGATTCTGGCCACAGAATTACAGATTCCGGTTTTGTTTAGTTTCCTCTATTAACCTTATTTGTTTAACATTGTAGACCAACAGCTTTTCACATCTGTCATTTGTACTGCGTCAAATTCGCATCATGTTCGCATTGGTTGCTACCTGAACGACAAGTGAATTTACTACTGTCCCGTCCCTGCGAGTCGCTCCCATCATCCCTAAGTCTATTGAATTGCTTTATTCAAATTGCTATTCTAGTACTACGACCTAACAGTACACTTTATTTTTCACGCAGCGATCAGTCTAGGGAAGTATGTATACTAGTGTGTGAACTCATATTGCATTAAAAACTTGTGTCTTAGCATGTCTCCGAGATAAAAGAGAATCTAATCTCTACTTATTCTTCTCGCTGCGAATAATGCCAGACATCACTCGAATTCCATACGTTGACCTTGAGCTTAAGATCCGAGCAGCACAGAAATGGGCATCCAGCGAGCTCACGGTTTTCCAACCAGCACGAAATTCTACAATTTCTGGCGTTGTTTCACACTATGTTCGTTGGTTTCTCATCACATCAGCGGGCATCTTTGTTTTAACATTAGGCTCGTGCAGCGTTACCTTACCTTACGAAATGTTCCCACCTTGAGACAGGATGTCTACTTGAGGACAAGATGGCACGCAGCCTTCTGTTGACAACTATTTTAAGGGGACTGGACATGCAGGAGTCATCTGGCTTTCTGCCAAAACGTAAGGCAAAGGTATAGTTGATTCCGGGTCCTTTATTATGGAACAGTATAGAAAGCACTTGCTTTAGAAAACCTTGGACGTCCGACATTATTTCTACTGGCGTTCGCTTATTAGATGCTGAAGCTTTGATGACAGTCGGACGCTGCTCGCGAAGGGATGCTCTAACTCGTTCGGGAATAGTTGCCTTTGTAGGCTAATACCGTGCCAACATCATGTTTTCTAGTTGAATCATCCTACTCAGGACGAGCTTCATGTAAATGCCCGAGGCTTTGTTTTTAGCGTTTTTTTTGCGTACGTCTGCATCCACGCTAGCCGTCGCTGGTACCGCGCTCTTGCTCACTACGGTGAAGTACGTTTTCTTCTCCGATTGAGTGCTGTGCTCACCAATTATCATTTCCTTCGTAGCTGATACGGATGACTCTTGGCCCCATTAATATTCGTAGTCCTTACCCCGATTAAAATACTTGACTCGAGGGAGGTGAGCATTGCTTCCCAAGCGTGGTTTCCGAATAAGGCGGCATTGTGGCGCTTGCCCTTCACTGCCGCTTGGCAACAGCTACCGATAAAGCATACAACCAAAAAAGCTTACAGCACGCTTCGCAGAGCGGGTGTTATGTGGACTTCCAGTGAGAGGTGACTCCGTTGCGGCGATCCCAGCATTTGGATATTATTAATAGTTTCAATCGTAACTTTTTAATTGTCGCTGTGAAAACTCCTGCCTCCACTCTGTTCTTTTACAAAAAATACCTCAAAGGCACTTGACACACAGAGGTTCAACCTTGAGTGACATAAACTCGGTTTCGTATTTACCGAATGCCACTGCTTCACACAGAAAGTGTTTTTTAGGCTTTCTGTAATAAATAAATAAATGGTATATATATCAACAGTGCGACACAGACCAACTACATGGTTTGGTTATTCCGTACGACACAATTGGATAGTAGAGAAAGTTTTCCGAGTTTCTCAAAATAGTTCTCCGAGGAAATTTAGTGTTAAATCAATTGAAGGTAATAAAAGGATGGAAATGTACAGAGTAGGAATGAATATAGTTATAGCTAGTAGTTCAACTAAAGCAATACGACTTCGTAGACCATTTCCTTAGGACATGGTTCTATGCCTGGTAGTTCCTCCGAAAGTTTCGCCCGCATTTCTAATCATCATCTGGCCACGTGGTTATGTGACTTAACAGTAAGTATGCCGTCATCGTACTTTGGGCCGCTGTGATAAGCAAGTAGGCCGTCATTATGTCTACGTTGCTTAGGAGTAATTAAGCCAACCTCGTATTATCTTATCTCTAGGACTGCTGTTATCGGTACAGAGAACAGGCACTCCAGCCATTCAGCTCGTTCTAACACCAGAATCATTTGGGTCGGGCACCGTTTTTCTCGCTTGTCGGTCTGCGGCAATTCGCCTTGCCTGTTTGTTATTAATTAGCTTAGAAATTTCAATCTACATCAGGAGATTGGCTCGGTCGTGAGTAAACGTGAAAAACAAAGAAAAACAACGAAATGGATTTGAACGACAACGAGTCAATTACATATGTCTCTCTAGTGTGAGATGTAGTCCGATTGTTTGTACAAACAATCACAGAGGACAAGTAAACGTTCAAAATATTTCTGAACATGGCAGCTCCTGGAAGCTTTTTAGGTGGTTTCATCAGGTGAAGCCAGTCGAAAGACGGCTCAGTCAAAATTCGAGCTGGCTGATTTGGCTGCAAACGTTTCATCCTCAGGCTAGACGACATCATCAGTGAGATTTATGCGGGCCACTTACAGATCCAAGTGATTATTGACCACTTGACTAGAACGTCAGGAGTCTAGTGGTCCACGTGAGCTGACTGTGTAGTCAGCTCTTGCGTACTGTTGTCTAGAGTCCGCCTCAATGAAGTTCCTTTGTCCTGTTGATCTGGGACAGAGTGTGGTTTTGACCCTCAGTGTTTCAAAGGCAGTATGAAGAGCTAAGTGTCGGTTAATTGAGTTCTTCCCCGATTACCAAGCCTCAGTGAACTCACGTGCTTTTCGATTTTTTGCCCTGCCTATGATCCTGACATTGTCCAAATCAAACTGATGATTCTCGACGTCCATATGTACCGACATTCAGGAAGTTCTTCCTGTCTGGTCAGACAGGAAGAACTTCCTGAATGTCGGTACATATGGACGTCGAGAATCATCAGTTTGATTTGGACAATGTCAGGATCATAGGCAGGGCAAAAAATCGAAAAGCACGTGAGTTCACTGAGGCTTGGTAATCGGGGAAGAACTCAATTAACCGACACTTAGCTCTTCATACTGCCTTTGAAACACTGAGGGTCAAAACCACACTCCGTCCCAGATCAACAGGACAAAGGAACTTCATTGAGGCGGACTCTAGACAACAGAACGCAAGAGCTGACTACACGGTCAGCTCACGTGGACCACTAAACTCCGGATGTTCGAATCAAATGATCAATAATCACTTGGATCTGTAAGTGGCCCGCATAAATCTCACTGATGATGTCGTCTAGCCTGAGGATGAAAAGTTTGCAGCCAAATCAGCCAGCTCGGAGAACACCCGCACACTCTCATCCACATCCCGAGCTACAAATATTCTCACGGATTTTTAAATCAAAATCGTTGTGCATTTCGCGGGGCACGGAATGCTGAAGCATGTACTTGAGTCGTGACCTCCAGGAAAGAATAGAAATAGCTAATTGGGCAGAAAAATTGCGAGGAAAGCAATGATGACAAAGCCTCCAGTGATCATTTCCACTTTGGTAAGCTTAGATATTATACTACGCGGCAAATGCGCATCATTGTAAACAAATAAGTTTTTGTTAATGCTGAGTCCGGCGACAAAGAGGAAACCGCGCATCCAAATCATATCTGTCTTCCTCTGGTTTCATACGGAGATTCATTTGTAATATTTGGTCTCCATATACCAAGAGTTGTTTCAACAGAGAAATGAATGTGTAGCCCTTCGAAACTATCATTAATTCGATTTCACGTAACTCATTTGGATGTCTGTCACATATTATGAAGTGTCAGTTAAGGAAAAGTTTCCGACTTCTTTGTTCTTGATCATTTGTCTATCACTTTATTTTCATTGTGGTTTCTGGTAGGATACTCTTCCGGTACTTTTAGTTTTATTGTTAAATTTGAGGACTGTATTTTTATTAGGCATATCAGAGAAGACGTCAAGGTGAAGTTTCGTTCGGTGCAGCTATGACGGATCAAGTTGTAGGGTAATGCATGGATCCATATATGATAAAGTAGTTGAATAACCCAAGAGACGTTTGGTAAATGACCGTGGCACTCACTCTATAGTGCTATACGATCACTCACTTAGGAAGTGCAATAGATTACGGGGTTATAATCTAGTAACGGATGTGTGTGTATTTTGTATCTGGCATTAATTGACTTTTTGAATGTTTTGAACAGAAGCCCGCTTCTCCGACGAGCTTGAGTGCAGGATGTCCGGCGGGCTCAGCTAACTTACTTATGTTCGAGTGGTGTATCTCCAGGTCACGGATAGTACGGCAGTGAGACAGTGGTTTACCGTCACTAGTAATTGGACCCGGATGGATTTTACATTACAGGATAGCACGTAGCATTTGTCCATGGTGAATGACATATTTCACTTGGAACACCATGAATCAAGCGTATATAAGTCAAGCTGGATTGCGCTAAAGATATGACTGACACCAGTTGGTTGAAATTGCAAATAATCATTATGTCATTGAAAGCAGAAAGGCTTTGCAGCAGATAAGGACCTCAACAGTTTCATCCATATATTGTAGGGATAAAAATGACCCAGAACACTGCCTTGTATTACGTCGCGATATATATATATATATATATATATATATATATATATATATATATATATATATAGCATGCGGAAAAGAAACGTCGGATGAGAAAGCGACTGGCGTCGATAGTGGATAGCCCATCGACGTCGAGCTCATCGTGCTGTAACATATGCGGTCGCGAGTGCCTCAGCCAAGCGGGTTTGGTACGCCACCAGCGTCGGCACGTTGGGCCAACATCTAAGAAGTGTATGCTAAAGGTGTAGTTATCACCAGTTCGGCGCATCCAGTGTGCAACGGCCCACGGCCCAGCCACCGCCTTGCGTACATCTGGTACAAATTATTCCGCAGTTAGTTATGTATGCTGTTGCTCTGGTTGTTGAAGGAGTGTGGGCCGGCTCCGTTGAAACGTAGCTCTTTATCCACATGTCTTCTGGTTTACCGTGGATACGGGGTGTGTGGATGGAGCTGTGGGTGGTGCCTCGTAACCTACCCATGGTCCCTTTGTTTGCGCAGACGTCCTGTGGCTATCCCCGTGGAGGCCGCAGTGACAGGTAAATCCGGAATCGGATGCCGCCAAGTATATAGTCAACACCTGACTAATATGCAATGGGCAGTCACCATCATCATCATCATACACGTTAGCTAGAGTTGGGGAACACCTCAGCTACTGTGCCGCAATACACAGAAAAAAGGAGAAAAAAGCAACCGGTGCAAGCCGGATGAGCTACCGGTAACGCATGGGCATCGTTCCGGTAAGCTACCAGCCGGCTACTGTGCATCAAAAAAATTGCTATGC